TCCTTCCTAAACCCTAAACCCTAAACCCTAAACCCTTTCTTATCTTCTCCTGTGTCTTCTTTCCCCCCTCTAAACCCTAAACCCTAAACCCTAAACCCTTAAACAAACCCTTAAGACTTGAAACTCCCATTTACCTCAATGACTGGCTAGCTAGCCAGCTAGCTAGCCAGCTGGCTAGCTAGCCAGTCAGTGTTTGCAGCAGAAGGCTGCTGCTGCCTCTCCCTCTTTGCTGCTCCTGCTGCTGCTGCTGCTGCAACGGGCAGCAAACGAGGAGGAGTCTGTAAACCCTAAACCCTAAACCCTAAACCCTAATCTTCTTGTCAAGATGATTCCTCTCGCCCTATTGGAGCTCTTCTTCCCTGGAGAGTCCCAGGATGGTACGACGCCCCAACTGCTGCTGCTGTTGCTGCTGTTGCTGTTGCTGCTGCTGCTGCTGTTGTTGCTGCTGCTGCTGTTATTGCTGTTATTTGCATGCATTTGGGGTGTATACGCAGATGGTTTGCAGCAGTTTGTTGCACTTTGGTTGGATTTCTTCTCTCGTAATGCTGCAGAAGTACTCCCAATGGTCAGCTTCCTGCTGCTCCTGCTGCTGCTGTTGCTGCTGCTGCTGTTGCTGCTGCTGCCGTTGCTGCTGCTGCTGTTGCTGCTGCAAGTTGACACCATGTGCACGATGCCATTTTGACGCATTATCTAGCTGCCTATTTACGTGTTCAGCAGCAGCTGCTGTTGTTGCTGCTATTGCTGTTGCTGCTGCTGCTGCTGCTGCTGCTGCTGTTGCTTCCAAATTCCCTCTGTCGTGTTCCTTACCGATTTATATTGTGCTGTTGTGTTTCCTGCTGCTGCTCCTGCTGCTGCCTTTCCCCTTGTGCTGCTGCTGCTGCTCCTCCTCCTGCTCCTGCTCCTGCTGTTGCTGCTGCTGCTGCAGATAGATCCTTTTACCTTAGAGGTTCCTATAGTATTAGATCGTTTATTGGCACTAAATCCTCCTCCTGCTGCTGCTGCATTTTATTCATCATTACGTTTTTCTCCTCATGATTTGCTGCATGCAATGAGCTGCTCATTGCATGCGCTGCTGCTGCTGCCACAATTTTCTTCTAAAGTACCTGCTGCTGCTGCTGTTGCTGCTGCTGCATTACATGGTGATGCTACCAAAGCGGCTGCTGCAGTAGCAGCAGCACAAGCACCTGCAGCAGCAGCAGCAGCAGCAGCAGAGCTACCTACTATAGCACAGGGGCCCCCTATTACTGTCTCTGTCCGCCTCATTGATTTATCACCCCCAACCTCTTTTGGGGCCCTTAGAAGCAATCAGGCATGCTGCTGCTGCTGCTGTTGCTGTTGCTGCTGTTATTGCTGCTGCTGCTGCAGGTGACGGGCACGATAGCTGTGTTGATGTGCTGCTGTTTCCGCTCTTGCCGTTGCAGTTGCTGTTGTGTTGCTGCAGCAACACCAGCAGCAGCACCACCACCACAAACGGCACCACAGCTGCTGTTGTTGCTGCTGTTGCTGTTGCTGTTGCTGCTGCTGCTGCAGGTTGGGTGTCTGGTGTCTGTACACGGTGCAGTAGTTCGTGTTTATTCTCCTCAACCTTTAGTGCAGCAATTAACATTTGAATGTGCAAAATGTCTTACTAAAATACATAAAGTCCTACAAGATGGAAGGTCAGCTGCTGCTGCTGCTGCTGCTGCTGCTGCTGCTGTTGCCGCTGCTGCTGCTGCAGCTGATGCTGCTGATGCTGCTGCTGTTAGGCATACTGAGGCTGCTGGATAAGTGTTGCCTGTCATTGTGATGGTGCTTCTGCTTGTCCTACTGATATTGGTGCTGCTGCTGCTGCTGCTGCTGCTGTTGCTGCTGCTGCTGCAGGTACGAGCCCCCCCAGGTATGCATTCGTCCTCGATGTCCTTCGCGCTTCTTTCTGCCGCTGCGGCGATTCGCCACAGCAATAGACGTTCAACGCATTAGGTAAGTGCTGCTGCTGCTGTTGTGGTTGCTGCTGCTGCTGCTGTTTTTGCGGCTGCTGCTGCTGTTTTTGCGGCGGCTGCTGCGAGTGTAGATGGAGAACTGCTAACAAGGTTAGATGCTGCAGGAGGATACAGAAGGGGTTTCTTGTTCTCGTTTCTAGGGTTTAGGGTTTATGGTTTAGGGTTTGTCGTGGGGTGTACAGACTACAAGAGGTAACTGCCCCTAATGGAGAAGCAGCAGGAGAGGGGCCCCTAGATGACCCAACAAGGGCCCCCACGGGGGGCCTCCGCACAGCAGCAACTATAGACTGCGAGGTACCCTAAGCCCTAAACCCTAAATCCTAATCGTATTATCTAAACCCTAAACACTAATGGCTAGGGCAGAGTGGTAAGGTAGGCATTAAGGAAAGAATGAAGGTCTAGGGTTTAGGGTTTAGGGTTTAGGGTTTAGGGTTTGTTTGTTTCCTCAGCTAGCAGGTTTTCTTGTGGGCAAATGCAGCCCTGGAGACCGCATCTGTCTAACAGGTAAGAGAAACAACTAGGGTTTAGGGTTTAGGGTTTAGGGTTTAGGATTAGCTGCCTGCGATGCTCCAGCATGCAGATACACGGGGACATGCAACTCTGCTGCTACTGCTGCTGTTGCTGCTGCTTGTGTTGCTGCTGCAGGGATAGTGCATGCACGTCAATCTTCTGCGGTGTCTGCGCACCTTGTGGGGCCCCACGCTGTACATAGCGGCAGATTAGGGGGCAGCAAGAGTTTATATACCCTTTATTTGCATGCAGTTGCTGTGTATCCTCTAGATTGGCGGCAGCTGCAGCAGCAGCTGCAGCTGCACCGCAGCAGATGCAGCAAATACAGGCATGCACCTGCTGCGCTGCTGCCGCTGCCAGCAACAGTTGCTCGTCGTCCGCTGCTGTGGCGGGACTTTGCTGCTGCAGCAGCAGCAGCAAATGAGGAGGAGGAAGCAGACATTACTATAGATTCTCCTGCTGCTGCTGCTGCAGCAGCAGAAGGTATTGAATCCCCTAATAAAGGGACAGATGCTGTTGTTGCTGCAGCAGCAGCAGCAGGAAGCCGCTTGTTGCAGTTTATTGCTGATGTCTATACACTAGAGAAGAGAAGATTTGAACTCCTTGTTGCTTCTGTTGCTCCTTCTATTGTTGGTAGACATATTGTTAAAGCAGGTACTCTGCTGCTGCTGCTGTTGCTGCTGTTGCTGCTACTGTTGCTGCTGCTGTTGGTAGTGTGGTCAGTATTAGGTTAATGGTGGTGGTGCTGGTGCTGCTGCTGGTTGGGCCCCCGCTGCTGCTGCTACCACCAACGCTGTAGGTGTCGTTGAACTGTTGCGCGTTCCCCAGAAGGAGCAGCAGCAGCAGCAGCAGCAACAGCAACAGCAGCAGCAGCAGCAGCAGCAGGTGTGTTGTTGCATGCAGGCCTTGTACTTGCCTTACTAGGGGGTGTTCCTGTTACAGCAGGACCGCAGCAAGGATTATTACGGAGAGGATCTATTCATGTATTATTAATAGGAGACGCGGGTGTTGGAAAGAGTCGGCTGCTGCAGGCAGCAGCAGCAGCAGCAAGCAGCAGCAGCAGCAGCAACAGCACCAATAATAATATACGTGGTAATATGCGCAGCATATTTGTATGCGGTAATACTGCTTCTGCTGCAGGACTAACAGCAGCAGCAATAAGAGAAGCGGGAACAAGAGAAGTTGTTATAGAAGCAGGTACCTGTTTGCTGCTGCTGCTGCTGCTGTTGCTGCTGATGTTGCTGCTGCTGTACGGACCCCCCAGATCAACAGACAGACACACACACACAAACACACAGACAGGCGCATGCACTCGCGCTTATATATCGCTGCTGTTGCTGTTGCTGCTGCTGTTGTTGCTGCTGCTGCAGGGGCATTAGTATTAGCAGATGGTGGTGTATGCTGCATAGATGAATTGGATAAGTTTGCTGCTGCATCAACAGCAGCAGGAGACTGTGCATCTCTTATAGAGGCAATGGAGCAGCAAACTGTCTCCTTATCTAAGGCCTCTTGCTGCTGCTGCTTACCGGCAAGAACTACTGTATTAGCTGCTGCTAACCCGAAAGGAGGAAGGCTAGAGTATATCTTCTCCCTTTGCTGCTGCTCCTGCTGCTGCTGCTGCTGCTGCTCATGCTGCTGCTGCTGTTCATGTTTCTACTGTTGCTGTTTATAATGCCATTGCTCCTCCCTCTCTCGTTGTTGCTGCTGCTGCTCCTCCTCTTCCGCATGCTCCTCCCCATGCTGCACGTCACTCTTCTGCACGTCACTCTTTTGCACCTCACGCTGCTGCTGTTGCTGCTGCTGCTGCTGCTGCTGCTGCTGCTGTGTGCAGCCCACGTAAATCGTTTACGGATAATTTGAATTTATCACTTCCCATTTTATCGCGTTTCGATTTAATTTTTTTTCTTCACGACAAACAAACAGCAGCAGCAGACGCGAGGCTTGCTGCACATATACTTGCATCCAGGAATAGTAAACAATCTGCTGCTGCTGCTGCTGCTGCTGCTGCAGCAGCAGCAGCAGCAGAACATGAAGAAAGAGAAAGGGCTGCTACAGGGCAAACGCCATCCTGTGATAGTACATGCTTGGAGGAGAGGCTCATGGCGATGGAGGTTTGTATGCTGCTGCTGCTGTGCTGCAGCTGCTGCTGTTGTTCTGCTGCTGTGCTCCTGGTGCTATTGTTGTTGTTGCTGCTGCTGCTGTTGTTGTTGATGTTGTTGTTGTTGCTGCTGCTGCTAACAGTTCTGGCATGTCTATGCAGCAGTAAATGCTCGTGTGCTGCTTCTGTTTGCTTCTGCTGCTGCTGTTGCTGCTGCTGCTGCAGTCCGCAGATTTGCTGCCTCTGTCTCTGCTGCAAGACTACATATACTATGCAAGGGAGCACGTACACCCCAAGTTGTCACCAGAAGCAGCAGCAGTAATCAAGACATATTTCTTCACACTGCGGCAGCAGCAGCAGCAGCAGCAGCAACAGCAGCAGCAGCAGGGGCTACGTGTAGCCACCCGCCAGCTTGAGTCTTTGATCCGTCTATCTCAGGTTATTATTATCCTCCCTTCCTCTTCCCTCCTCCGCTGCTGCTGCTGCTGTTGCTGCTGCTGCTACTGCCAGTGCTATTGTTGTTCTGATGCTACTGTTCCTGCTGCTGTTCCTGCTGCTGCTGCAGGCACGGGCTCGTGCAGATCTACGTGTATTAGTAACAGCAGCAGATGTCCGTGATATAATAGAAGTATTTAATCATACTCCTTTTTCTTCTCCTTCTCTTCTTACTAAAGCTGCTGCTGCTACCGGGTGTACAGACACCTCAGCTAACTCTTTATTCGCCCATGCAACAGATTGTAAGATATGATACACGTGCTGCTGCTGCTGCTGCTGCTGCAGTAGGTGCTGCTGCAGCAGATGCTAAAGCAACGGGAGAAATACCAACAGCAGCAGCAACAGAAACAACAGCAGCAGCACTTGCAGCTGATTAGGATATAGGGTTTGTGAATGCGTGTGTCTGCTGCTGCTGCTGCTGCTGCTGTTGCTGCTGCAGCAAGAAAGAAGTGTGGTAGAGGACTGCGCCCTCTTGTGGAGGCCTTTGGGCGTCATTGTGCTGCTCTCCTTGCCCGCACAGGATCAGCAACTCTCTCACACTCCGTAAACCCTAAACCCTAAACCCTAATAAACCCTAAACCCTAATTGGCTCCATACAGCGTCTCTAACAACCCTCATGCATTCTGTCTAGGCAAACCCTAAACCCTAATTGGTGGTTTAGGTTGGTCTGATGCAACACCTCTGCACCACTGAGGGTTTAGGGATTAGGGTTTATGGATTGGTTAGGGTTTAGGGTTTGGTTAGGGTTTAGGGTTTGTGTTGTGCTGCAGGACGCATTAAAGTGTGCTAGTCTTCTTGTACGGCAAGCAGAATCTGCTGTTGCTGCTGATGCTGTTGTTGCTGCAGCAAATGAGATCGGTTTGCTGCTCAAGAGACAGGGCATGTGGGTACTAGATAGGGCCCTATTACCCCATATCTAAACCCTAAACCCTAAACCCTAAACCCTTGCCAGCCGGCAATACAACCTAACTAGAACCGGCTCTCTTTGCAGTCATTACTAAGCAGCGTCTTTGCAGCAGCTGCAGCAGCAGCTGCAGCAGAAGCAGCAGCAGCAGCAGCTACAACAACAGTAAATAGTTCTTCGCTGCCTTTACTGTTTGTTCTTTTTTATAATACGCCAACTGCAAGACAGAGTCCCCTTTTTTTTTATTTCTTTTTTTTTTCTTTTTTTTCTTCTCTTTTTTGTGCCTTTGTTTGTCTCTCTTTATTCCTTTCCCTTAATTACTCCATCTAAGCATATGTCTCCTTAATTCCTCTCTTGCTGCTGTCTCCTTTTTGTCTCCTTATTTATCTCCTAATAAAGGTATTTACCTCGTAATAAAGGATAGTCTTACACAAACCAACTGCTGGGATCGATCCCAGCCAGGGCGGGATCGATCCCAGGGCCTCAGGGGTCGATCCCAAAGTGTACGGGATCGATCCCAGGCAATAAGGGATCGATCCCAGCAGATTCTGGGACCGATCCCAGATCTCTTCCTCGAAGCATCTACCGCCGTTGTAGATAGATCGTAACTTCTGGGATAGATCCCCCGGCCCAAGGGATCGATCCCAGCAACTTCTGGGGTCGGTCCCGCCATCATCAAGTGCTGGGATCGAGCCCAGCACTGTGTGGGGTTATAATATAGCTGTTCTACATTTGTCACAACCCTTGGGATCGATCGATCCCAGTGTTAGGGGATCGATCCCAGGAGTGTGTGTGGTTGGGTGTTCTACCTCCGTGCTACATAGATAACATCAGCGGGGATCGATCCCGTGTTGGGATCGATCCCAGTAGTGTGGGGTATGTTATGTTTCTTCTGTGTATACAACAAAAGCTAGGATCGATCGATCCCAGTGCCGTGGGATCGATCCCCTGAGTGTAGGGTATGTTACTGGGATCGTGATATACTGGGATCGATCGATCCCCGGTTTGTTTGTTGTGGGATCGATCGATCCCAGTGCAGTGGGATCGATCGATCCCCTGAGTGTACTGTATATTATTTTTGTTCTGCATATACAACAACAGCTGGGATCGATCCCAGTGCACGATCCCGTCCCCATTCTTTCCATCTCCCCACGATCCCAGCAGCAATAAAGCGGCCAAGGATCGATCCCCCATAAACAGCAAAAGGGAGACAAATTATTTTTGTCTTTAAATCATAATGACGTAAGGAATAATTTATTAATAAAGGAGACAGTAGGCCTCCTATCCATACACCATTCTGTACTAATACCTGTTATATAAGAAAAAAAAAGGAGACACATAAGGAAAAGGAGACACATAAGGAAAAGGAGACACATAAGAAAAAGGAGACAGTTGAAAAGGAGACAGTTGAAAAAGGAGACAGTTGAAAAAGGAGACAGTTGAAAAAGGAGACAGTTGAAAAAGGAGACAGTTGAAAAGGAGACAGTTGAGGAGACAGTCGAAAAGGAGACAGT